AACAGATCTTGTTACATTATTGTGTTTATGTGTATTCATTCTTTAGTCTCCTTTTTAATGTCTGTTATGCACTGGGAGACCAAATTTTATTAGGCTTATTAGGTACCATATAACTTAATTATACACAGATCAAGAACACAAAACTTTCTACTGAATCTCTGAGTATCCCCTCCCCCCCCACCAGTCAAGAGCACACAGTATGCAGAGTTGGTGACCCAATAAATAGCACTTCCTTTCTGAGCCACCTGGGGGAGACAGAGAGTTCAGCAGATAGAATTCAGAGAGCACTTTTATTGCAAATGAAGCTGATAATTGGTACATGATTTATATCTGTATGTAAGTGAACTTTCTATTTGTGAAGTTCAGAGTTGCAGAGACTTACCTACTTGGTGGGGGGGGGTGGTGTGGAAAGTTTCTGGCCATTCTGACTTGCTCCTGATTCTTGAGACTGAAACAAGGAGATGCTACCTGGGGGCACATGTCCAGTCCAGCTCAGCTCCTGAGAAAGAAGGGAAGCAAGAGGAAAGTCTGTTCAGTCCCGAGCCCCCCAACGCCAGTCACAAGTCACCCAAGAAGGAATGTCAGAGGTGTGGACAGGCCACTATGTAGAGGGAATTCATTCTCTCTTCTGAAAGGCAAGGGAGTGCAGAGGAATTGTTTCCCATTTTATAGTTACCTGCTTTGATTTTCCAGACTATTTATTTATTCATTTCTTCTGAGTCCTTGGAGTCTGTCAGGTCATTGAAGTGGTTGGTAAATAACTCAGGTCAGAGGACACATGAGCACTCCTCAGTCTGTAGTATGATACTCAGCTTCATTTTCAAAATGAAAATAGTCACTTGCAGAATTCTTCAAATTTGTTTGTGAAATTAGACTAATAAAGTACCTTTATGAAACATTTGTTGATAAAGCTTGAACTCCGAGAATGTCCCAAGGATTCCCAAGATTGTCCTTCCTTCTGTCTTTACATACAAATTTTCAGAAGTGGTTTATTCTGACTGGACAACAGCATCATTCAAAGCGAGCCCTCACTCAGCCAGATTGTTGGTCTCCCTACACTACCCAAGAGATGGAAAGTAGAAACACATCACCCTAAAGTTAAAAACCAGTGTGGCATATAATGGTGTATTGCAAAACAGTATGGCATTTCTTCCAAAAGTGAGACATAGATTTGCCATATGATACAACATTTCTATCTCTGGGTATATATTCAAAAGGATTGACAGCAGGGTCATAATACATATATCACATTCATGTTCATAGCAGTAATATTAACAATAGCCAAGGGATAGAAACAACCAAAATGTCCATTGACAGATGAGTAAATAAAATGTGGTTTATACATTCCATGGAATATTATTCAGCCTTAAAAAAGGAAGGGCATACTAACAGATGCTACAATATAGCAGAACCTTGAAGATATTATGTTAAATGAAATAAGCCAGTCATAAAAGGATGAACACTGCATACTTTAACTGATATAAGGCACCTAAAGTCATCAGATTTATAGAGACAGAAAGCAGAATGGAGGTTGCCAGGGGCTTGGGGAGGAGGGAATGGAGAGGTATTGTTTAGTGGGTATCGAATTTCAGTTTGGGAAATGAAGAAGTTCTAGAGATAAATAAGGTAATAGTTGCTAGAGAGTATCAATGTACTTAATGCCACTGAACACTTAAAAGTGGTTAATATCGTAAATCTTGTGTATATTTTGCCATGTAAAAAAAAAAAAAAAGTGGTGACTGAGACAGCCAGATCTATAAGCCTAAAGAAACAGCAGTGGGTCCCTTATAGTTTTCTTTGACCAAGAAGGGGCTTTTGAAAAATTTGCTTTAGTATTAATAGTTAGCATGTGATTGTGCTAAAATACAAGTTTATGAAAACAAAAGCAAAATTATGATTTCTTTTAGAACAAGTAAACCTCTATTCAAAATTTCAATATACCTTATATGAGGGGGGAAAAATCTGTGATAAAAAATAAGAACAAATTTAAAACTGCTCATCATGACACATTCCTTTGTGAGCACTCCCTTCCTCCCCACATTCATACCTACATGGAGAGAAAATCATAGAAACTGGAGAGCTGTTGTTGACTGAGCATAATGATGTCAGCTGTAAAATGGTTTTGACAATAATTTTAAGTGACATCCCTGGGAATGTTGAATTGGAGGAGCCTGAGCAGAGCTTAATTAACTAGCATAAAAGGGGGGGGCTATTTAGGAGAGTACTAGATTCTGTTCAGTGTGTCTATTGAAGGCAGAGGTTTTTAAAGGAATCATTTGAGCATGGCATCTTGAGAGGAATAATGTGCCAGGTGTAGCATGCTGTAAAACCTGTCTTCTCACCCAGAAAATTTTTCAGTAAATCTGCTTCTCACCTCACCTGGTGAGGTGCATGGGCTTTTGGGGGATGTGACAAAGTGCCACAAAGTGGTTCTTCATAGAGCATGAGACAAGGCTGTTCTCACTTGACTTGCACACTAGACACTAATCCTCATAAATTTCAAATTCTTACTTCTTGCCTTTTAATTACAACATTACCAGGTCAATGCTGTGTTTTAATTACAACACTACCAGGTCAATGCTGTGTTCATATACGTGAGGGTTGATAGAAAAATAATCTCTCTTATTGTGGCAAGTTAGGTTTTTCCCAAATGATCTCTCCCAATATTCATATATAATCCTTTTTTTTCTCACCCTACTTCCCTGGCATTTTTTTTCACAATGCTTTAGAGTTCTTTTTTCAGTTTTCTCTAGTCTAATTTTTTTTTTTAAAGATTTATTTATTTTTATACAAGAACCGGGGTGCAGGCCAGATATGTGGGAGGGTGAGAGGATTCACCAGAGACAGAGCAGGGAACAGGACAGGCAGACTGATGAAATACACTGCTGAGGGGAGCAGCAGGCAAGACAGGAGAGGTCTGCTGCACCATGTGGGACCCTCGCCCGCCGGCCGGGATCAAACCCTCGCTGCAGAAGCTGTGGACAGCTTCACAGAGCGTCGCTCAACCAGCTGTGCCACCAGGGAGGCCCCTTCTCTAGTCTTAATTTTAATGGACATGTCCTCATGGAAATAACCCCCCAGTATTAAGTGGGTTAAGCAATGCAAACTGCCACAACAGACAAAAATCCAGATTTCAGTGTTTAAGGAATCAAAGATTTATTTCTTACTCATAGTACATATCCATCTCGATTCTATAAGCGTTTTGTTCTACAAAGGCGGAAGCAAGCTCCACCATCTTGTAGGTGGATCATCTGGAAGACATGGCATCTGGCATGATGAGCAGGCCCTTTGCTTATAATGGTCTGGACCTAGAAGTGACACTGGCCACTTCTGCTCATGTTCCATTGGCCAAATGTAGTCATGTGATCCAGCCTGACTATAAGGGAGACTGGGAAATGTAGTGGAGCATATGAGATGTTTAGTGAGCATTAACTCTCCCTGGTACCCCTACTAAGCAGACTACTATGAAGTCCAAGTTATGTTATACATTATACAAACAACTGTTGAATATGATTTGTATATGACAGAATGTTTATCTCTTCTCATACGTACTTGCTTAGTTGTACTCCCTATGAGTTTTCTTCAAACTCATACTCTAGATTCAGCATAAATTTCTTAGACCTCAAATTTATAGACATGTTAAGAAACAGTTTTTGAGGGGGCTATTTGTTTCCCTATCCCACTTTCTCTTTTTTTCAACTTGTCTATATATTTCTTGAGCTGTTTTATCATATATATTCTCATCAGGAGGTTCATGTTGTAAATGTGAAACTTGGGGCCTCCCTGGTGACCCTCGGGTTAAGTCTTAGCACTATCACCTCCATGGTCTGAATTCGATCCCCGGCTAGGGAGCTAACCCACATGGCACAACAGACCTCTCCTGTCTCACCCGCTGCTCCCCTCAGCAGTGTATTTCAATAAATCTGTCTGTTCTGCTCCCCATTCTGTCTCTGTGAATCGTCCCTTCCCTGAACCCCCCACATCTCTGAACTACAACCCAGTTCTTCTATGCAAAAATGAATAAATCTTAAAAAAACTGGAAACTTAACCTATTTCTAGGGTGGGAACCTGACCTTATTATCTATCTCTGATGTTATTTCACTGAATCAGTCTTTCACTTACTTATTTATATTTATTTGTGGACTTTGTTTTCATGAAGTGAAAGCAAGTCAATGATCCGTGAAAATTCTTCACTTCAACTTTTACTTGTTGGTGATGACTTTTACTTTGTTGTTTGTTTGTTTGTTTTAGTTTATCTGTTTTAGAAAAGTTTGACCTGTCAGCTAGGAACACAGAGATTGTGCAGGGTTTCTTGGGAACAGATTTGGGCTGGGTCATACTGATACAGGTGTTATTATGTTCCAGGGCATAATACAAACTAAGATCCTTTGGGAGGTACATTGATAAAAAGAGTTACACTTGTTTATTTAGACTCAAGATACCATCACACAATACTGAAGGTTACTTTCCATCCCCAAAGATAAGTTTGTTTAGGATGGACCAGAAATCCTGGGAGGGAAGAAAGTAAATATGTGCTGGATCTTATAGAGTGAGGCATGAATAACATGAATCTCAGTGATTACTTTTGATGGAATTGGACAGAACTTGAGTTGACCTTCACCATCATCTCCATGCTAAAATCCCATGTCTTTATTGGTAGTATCCCTCTTCCTTTTGGAAACATCCTTTTGTGACACACATCACTCCCCTAACCACATCCAACCTCAAAGGGAGGTCAAGGAAGGGAAAGAAAAGGTTGCATTAGCCTTTTTCCTTCCCCTTTTTCTCTAACTAGTACCAGAATCTGAGACTTTTTTAGAAAGACACAGAGATGTGTCTCTTTCTCCTTAGATATTGCAGTGAGAAAAAGTTATCAAGCTAATAAAATTTGAAATCTTTGCCAATTTATGGTCAATATATAGTTTGTAAAAGCTTTCAGGATTAAAACAAAAGCTCATTCTCTAAGCAAATAATTTTTTTTTTCATTCTTTTCTTTCTAGGCTTTTCCTCCAAATGCCATCACTATATTTTTTTACTGCAGTTCAGTGACTGTATTCTTCACAATAATTAAGTTGATCAGTTATCGCCTACACCTCATGTTTGATAAAGGAGAAATAATTCAGCAAAGGCCCCCCAGAAAGAAAGAAAAACCGAATAAAGACAAGGAGGCCAACAGTGAACATATCATTAATCACAAAAATCCAAGGTAACATTTATAATTATCTGTATTCATAATTTAAGTGTTTGCTTTAAGTACCTTTCCTCATTTACTAGTTACTTATGAAAATGTCAGTTTAGGTAGACACAATTATGTACATTTTTTAACATTTTTCTTATATTTAAGCTTGCACTTAAACATGAAATTGATATTGATAAACAAGATAGTTTAAATGATTATTAATGTAATCCTAATCCATGCTCTGGAATTCATTTGCATTAGCCTTAGCTTAGTAAAATATTACTTCAATATTTTTAATCTTTTCATTTAAATGCTTAACATACATCAAAGTAATTTTAAAAAGAACATTTGTGTTTGTTAACATACCAGTAATACTTTGCATAGAACTGAAATTTTGAGTCATTTTTGAATAAGCATCATTGTCACTATTCTTGCCCTTATTTCTGAGGAAATAAGAGAAGGCATGTTTTGTTTTAAGGTAATGTTTATTACTTTCTTTTTTTTTTGATGTTTATTACTTTCTTAAAAATAAAATTTCTACCAATGAACATGACAAAATGGAGCATAGAAGAAAATTGTTTTGGGGTTAACACTGAGTCAGTGGTAATGTCACTGGTCTTGTGTCTCTCATGTTGCATTAGCAATAACGGGAGGATTACCAATGGCAAAAAGGAGGAGCCCAGTCGAAACCTGTCTACATCTCCCCACCACTGCAGCTCCAGAGGGCAAAGCATAAACTCTCACCACTCTTCTGGGCTACTGGTTAGTGGTCTGCTTTCTGTTCACTGTCTCCATGTTGCTGTAGAGTTGATTTTATCCAGAATGACCTGGAATTGACTGGAGGGGAGCACTTGGACCATAAGATACACACCCAGTTGCTTATTGGAGAGTTTACCCACGAGACTCTGTTAAGGGTCCACCCTGCTGGGCCTCCCACTCTGGCCAGAAGAACCGATTTCCAGGCTTTCACTTCCCTCTGTCTCTTCTGTCTGTCCCTGTCCTGTATATAAATCATCTTACTTGCAATGCCTTCCCTGGGAACCAATGCCATTTCTCCATATTAAATTGCATTTGTCTCTTGAAAAGTTAATACAGGCATCCCCCAGTTTTTGAAAGTTCATGTGACAACACTTTGCTTTTAAGAAAGATCTATGTTAGTAACTATTTCCCAGGAGAATTTTTGTTTTCATGACAAGGGCTGAAATGAAAGCTAGAGCTCTTATTGGTTATGCAATGAGCTGTTAGAAGGGGGGCTTCCCCACCTATGGCAGTGGCACCAGCAGGCACCTTCCCTGGGAAGCACTTGCTACGGGTTGTGTATTATCCTGTCATTTTCACTTTGACTGTATCTTCGTGTCATTTTAGTTTCTATGCATTATTTGATCGGATTTGCTAGGTAATTTTTTGCATCTGGGAATACTCAAAATATTTTACGTGTAAATTAATAGTGATTGCTTTTTTTTTTTTTTTTTAAGATTTATTTTTTATTTATTTATACAAGCATTGGGTACAGTCAGAAGCACGGGAGGGTGAGAGAATTCACCAGAGCCAGAGCGGGGAGCAGAGCAGGCAGAAGGACCGGAGTACACTGCTGAGGGGAGCAGCGGGCAGCAGGAGAGGTCTGCGCGCCATATGGGACCCTCCTCCAGTGGCGGGGGAGCAGCCAGGGATTGAACCGGTGCTGCAGAGGCTGCGGGCAGCTTCGCAACCCAGCGCTCAACCGCTGCGCCACCGGGGAGGCCCGTGATTACTTCTTTATGCCATTTTAACTCATGGAAATTTTCTTAGAAAAGCTTTACTTTGGATAGCAGGGGAAATGTGTAGATCACCTTTTTTTCCTAGATTAACTTTATTGAAATCTGTTTACAGTGGAATAAAGTAGCATATTATTCCTTCTCCTTTTTTCTTTCTCAATTACTGAGCTCTTTCATCACAGTGCAATGGTCTTGGTTGTTTGTTTATACTTTTATCTATTTTTGTATTCATTTGTGTTACCTATTTTATTTTTTTTTAATTTTTTAAGATTTTATTTATTTATACAAGAACTGGGGTACAGGCCAGATGTGTGGGAGGAAGAGAGAATTCACCAGAGACAGGGCGGGGAGCAGGACAGTCAGACGGACTGAAAACACTGCTGAGGGGAGCAGTGGGCGAGACAGGAGAGGTCTGCTGCACCATGTGGGTATCTCCCTGGGCAGCTGAGAATCAAAGCCACACTGTAGAGGCTACGGACAGCTTCACAGGGCTTTGCTGAACCTGTTGTGCCACTGGGGAGGCCTGCTACCTATTTTATTAGAAGCCTAAACAGAGTGGACACTATTGTCTTTTCCCCATGTACCATTTAGAAAAACAACTGCTGCTTGGTGTCTGCTGGCTGCTTGGAAATGGGCAATGAGCTGAGTCCTTTATTGATTTCTTTTGTTCTTTCATTTATTTAGGAGTTGCCAGCACAGGAAACTGTGGAAGATCTCAAAGGTAGAGTGTTTGTTATCATCATTTACTATTTTAATTATAACATTATTCTCTCTGAAGTGAAAAATAGTTTTTATAAAACAAAACACCAGTGAGTTAATTGAAAATAAGAACCATACCTATGATTACATAATTATATTTTAACTTCATTTCTGTAACTCCTAACTTTGTTTCATATCAGAATTTGTACATAATGTCTACATTCATAGTATGATTTATTTATCATATTTCATTGTCTTTTCTCCAGTTCATTCTTCTACTCATATGGCTCATAGTAGCAGATAGAAAATAAGATAAATTTATCATCAATGTACAAACTTTTCATTATAACACACATTAAAAAAACAAAGGAAATTATATTGCATTCTGTATGTATGCATTTACTTCAAGTTACAAATTTTGTCTCTGGAATCTTGTTTTTAAATGCCTCAATTTTTTTTCTAAACTAAGATTTCATTTCATTGTCTTTTGTTTTTTTTTAAAGATTTATTTTTATTTATGTATATGAGACTGGTGTGTAGGCCAGAGGTACGGTGGTGAGAGGATTCACCAGAGACAGAGTGGGGATCAGAACAGGTGGATTGAGTGATATACACTGCTGAGGGGAGCAGCGGGTGAGACAGGAGAGGTCTGCTGCACCATGTGGGTAGCTCCCTGGCTGGGGACCGAACTCATGCTGCAGCGGCAATGGCGGCAATGGCTGGCGATAGTTTTATAGCACTGAGACTTTAACCCCTATGCCACTAAGGAAGCCCTCATTGCCTTTTGATTACCTCCAGAAGACCTAGAAAGAAGTTTTGGAGGTCTGAAGTAGAAATTTATGGTCTGTTAAAAATTTGAAAATAGTGTAATATTTTATTTTCTAATAAACATCTAAAATTAACATGATGTACCTGAAAGCCTAAAATGAAATTTCTCTTTTCATCACTCAAGTAAGTTCCCTGATAATTGTATATAAAGGATTAACCAATTTTTTAAATGTACTACTACAACTGAAATGAAATACATACTAATCAGGTTTCAAATATTAGTTACACACTAAGTTTCATAAAAATGTTATTTTAAGTCTTTTCACACACACACACACACACATATTTCTGCCCATATTGACCTGCATATTCCTCTAGGTTAGGCGTTGTGTTATTAGTACTCTTATCTTGTTATACCCTTTCAATGATTGTTCTGACCTTTTAATTTCACCATTCCTATGGAAATCATTATTTCCTTCCTTCCTTCCTTGTAATAAGAATTGTAGTAGAGACATTGCATATGACATTTTACTCTAAGTCATAGGAAGTAATGTACAGCTGCCAATAAATCCATACCTGACTGTTAAATCCAGTGTTTTTTCCACAACATAGCACTACAACAATTTTTCTTTTAAATCTCATAATACTCCATCCTAATATTCAAATTCTTGTGTTGCTAAAAAGCACAATGGCTTTTTAAAATTATTTTAAATGGCTCCATTGAGATATACTTCAGATACCATGCAGTTCTCCTATTTAATTTTTTTTTGTATATTCACAGAATTATATAGCCACTATTACAATCAATTTTAGAATAATTTCATTACCTTGGAGGGAAAAAACCCATACCACCTCTCAATTTCTCCATCTGTTCTCGCCCTAGATATATAGTTTGATCCTATAGATTTGCCTATTCTGAACACTTCATAATGGATGTGGTGTTCTTTTGTGACTGACTTCTTTCAATTAGCATGTTTTCAAGGTTCATTCATGCATGGTACTTAATTTCTTTTTTACTGTCATAATATTCCACCAAATGGATATACTACATTTTATTTCTCCATTCATCAGTTACTGAATATTTGGATTGTTTGTGCTGTTTAGCTACTATGAATGATTCTGCAATGAATATTCATGTGTAAGTTCTTGGGCACCTTTTTGAATTCTCTTGGCTATGTTCTTAGGAGTGGAGTTGCTGGGTTACTTAGTAACTCTGTGTTTAACCATTTGAGGTGCTGCCAGACTGTTTTCCAAATTAGATGTATCATTTTATTTCCCATCATCAATGTATGAGAGTCACAATTTCTTCATGACCAATACTACTTGATAATGTTAATTTTAAAAAAAAAATTATAACCATTCTAGTGGGTGTGAAATGGTGTCGCATTTTGAATTTCATTACTCTCATGACTAATGGTGTTGATGTTTTCATCATCAGTAATCTTTAGAGAAATATCTATTCAAATCCTTTGCCAGTTTTCAACTGCATTGTCTTTGCTGGTGAGTTTTAAGAGTTCTTTATGGATTTTGGATAAAAGTTCTTTATTGTATATCATTTGCTAATAGTGTCTTTCATTCTATGGGTTATCTTGTCACTTTTTTTTAAGTTTTAGTTATTTATTTTTGCGTGGAAGAACTGGGGTGTAGACCCTGGAGATGCATGGGGTGAGAGGATTTACCAGAGACAGAGTGGGGGACAGAACAGGCAGATTGGCTGAAATACACTGCTGAGGGGAGCAGCAAGACAGGAGAGGTCTGCTACACCATGTGTGGGTTAGCTCCCTGGCCAGGGATAGAACTCAGACCATAGCTGTGATAGTGCTGAGACTTAACCCCAGGGAGGCCTCTTGTCACTTTCTTGATGGGGACCTTTGAAACACAAAATTCTTTAATTTTCATGAAATCCACTGTTGTTTCTTTAGTTACTTGGACTACTTTTTGTGTCATATGACACTATTGCTGAATCAAAGGTTGTGAAGATTTAGTGTTTTCTTATAAGAGTTATAGTTTTAGCTTTTAAATTTAGATGTATGGTCCATGTTAAGTTTTGTATATGATGTAATGTAGAAGTCCAACTCAATTATTTTTCATATATATGGTGTTCCAGCACCATTTGTTGAAAAGGCTATTTCTTTTCTCTTGGTACCATTATGGAAAATCAATGGGCCATACATGTGAGGGCTTATTTTTGGACTTCCAGTTCTATTTTTTGTTCTTGGCAGTTATTATTATGACAGTATCACATTGTCTTGATTATTGTGTATAATAGTGTAATAAATTTTGAAATTGGAACGTGTGTACTTTTTGTTTTGATTCCTTACATTTTCATATGAACTATCAATTTTTGCACAAAAGGCTGCTGAGATATTGATAAAGATTACATTGAATCCATAGATAAATTTGGGGGAGAATTGCCATTTTAACAATTTTATTTTCTAATCCATGAAATTGGGATATCTTTTTCATTTATTTGGGTCTTTGCTCTCTTTGAAAATGTTTTGTAGTGTTTAGTGACAAATTTTTTATTTTTGCTAAATTTAATCTTAGATATCATCCAATATTTTTCTTTTTCCTTCTGACTTATTTCACTGAGCATAATTCCTCCCAGCTCCATCCATGTTGCTGTAAATGGCATGAGGTTATCTTTTTTGATTGCTGAGTAGCATTCCATTGTGTATATATACCACATCTTGATCCAGTCATCTATTTTAGGGCATTTAGGTTGTTTCCTTATTTTTCCTAATTTTTAATAATTTAATAATAATAATATCCTCCCCACAGCTTTCCATAGTGGTTGGACTAGTGTGCAAATTCACTTTAGTGGGTAATGTTGGGAAACCTCTCTGAACAGATAGCATTCTGGTTGAGATCTTAATGACAGGGCAGAGCAGCCATCCACACATGGAGAGTTGATGTGATAGATCAGAGGATTGTGCAGTCAGGACTCAGATGATTTGGCCTCTAGTTTCAGCTTCATCAATAGCTTGGCGACCTTACAGAAATTTCCTGACCCTTCTCGCTTCTGTTCCTTGTAATGGTATCTACACTGCCCAGTAGGATAACTAGCAAAGGATTGTTACAAGGTAAAACAATTTTCACTATCATCATCACCCAACATTCTTGAGCATGGATAAGAAAATAAGTTGGTTTCACTGGCGGATTCAATGAATATAAAATATGGTTGTTTTTCTAGAACTATGTAGTTCAGTTGAGAAGGTAATTTCAATTTTTTTTTCAAATGTGTTATAACAATCAAAATGCTGAATGAACCTGAATCACCACACTGTCAAAGCATCACACTGCTAAAACACAAACAGAAGAAATTGTCTTTTTTGATTTATATCACACACAAATTTTTAAATGAAATTACCTTTCTTTTTTCTACATCATTGTTAATTTTTGAACAATACATGACTTCTCCCTCAGGTGTTGTCACAGTAGTTCTCCCATCACCAAAACACCAATAGTCCATCACCATAGTCCCTTGTGCTGTCTCCCCCTGTTTTCACCCTCCCCCTTCCTTTCTCCTCCTGAATGCCTCAGATTTATGGTGAATTTTCAAGGTTTGTCTTTGTTTCTCTGTATTCCACATACAGTGAGGCCATCTGATATTTACAGGAGAGGTCTGCCGCGACATGTGGGTAGCTCCCTGGCCGGGGATCAAACTCGTGCTGCAGAGGCTGCGGATAGCTTCATAGTTCTGTACTTAACCCCTTGCGCCACCAGGGAGGCCCTGAAGCATTATTTTAAACATAGGGATTTCAAGAACAAAATTATGGTGGAGGTGATATTTTAAAAATAGGCATCCAATCACATTTGTTGCTATTTTAGTTTTGTTATTATTCATTCTTGCTCTGGGACCTTAATCATCTATTTCAGATGCTGATAAAGTTGCTATTATTGTGTATTTCAGATGTGGTCCTGTCAGAAGACCAACCTGTGGCACCAGTGTCATCTACCTCACCTGGTATCAAAACAGAAAGCTTACCTGCTTCCAAAGCATATGTGCCGGATACCACAACCACATCGGCAATACCTGTGACACCAGTTGTAACAGAAACTCTAATCAAAGGCAAGGCAAGAGGAGGCAAGGGGAAACCTCCTCTTCGCCACAGATCTGAGGGCGGCTTAGTGGATAAAGATGTCTTAAAGAAGTTGCCACACCTGTCTTTGTCTCAGTATGACATACTAGAAACAGATGTTTCTTTCCAGCCTTGGGGGAGTGAGAATTCAGTCCTGATTCCAGAATCTGTGAATTATGCCCAGGCCTCCATAAGGGAACAGATGCAAAGCAAGTCACCCCAGGGCAGCTTGAGCAGTAGCTGCCCTCAGTGTGACACCGTTATCACCAAATCGACACAGGAGCTGGTAGATGGCTCCAGGCAGGTGGACCCTCCCTCGAACCAGAAAGTAGACTATTCAGATAGTGAAGTAGCTGTTACTCTTATTGATACCTCTCAACCCGGAGACCCTCTGAGTCTGCATGAACCTATTAAAATTGTCATCACCATGAGCAGTAGCCCAAACTCTATGACAGACTTGGAAAGTTCTCTCCACCTGAAAGTGATTGGCACTGAAAGAACTGGTTTAAAGTCTGATGTGGAGCTAACTACCCCAGGGGTGGTCAGTTCTCCAAGCACTGAACAGATAAGAATTCCTGTCATCACCCTTGAGCTATCTGAGGATGGGGGAGGAGACATTATTTGTCCAGAAGGCAATAGAAGTGAAAGGACTCCAGAGAGGTTGATGGTGGAGGCATCCTCCAATCCGTGTTCTGGCTATGAATCTGCAGAGGGAGGAAATGCCACGAAGGATGTTAGCCTTTCCCCGAGAGACCACTGTGAAACAACTCCGCCTCTCACACCTAATGTGGTCTCTGAGCCTGAGGAAGGAAAGGAAGGCCAGGCTAACCTTGACCCATCATGTTGCAAAACCAGCCATGAAAAGAGACACACCAGGGTCCTCAGTGTAGACAGTGGGACAGATGTCTTGAGTAAGAGCTCCACAGAAATGATTAATGATAAAGAAAAAACAATGCCAACTTCCAAATCTGACCTAGAGGCTAAAGAAGGACAAATACCAAATGAATCCAACTTCTTGGAATTTGTCTCCCTGTTAGAATCAATTAATACTTCCAAGGTGGTGGCCACCAACCAAAAGAATGGCTTGGCAGAGCAGAACAAAGAAACTGAGCATCTCCGAGGTATGGTTCCACCTCAGTTTTGGCCTGATGATATAAGATGATCTCTTTGTTATTTTCTTTCTGTGATTTGCTTTTGCAAAGAGTGCGACAGCTATTGGCCATTCTCAGTTGCTTGGTATTGTCATTGACATTTGTTGAACGTCAGTGAACACTAAGCTATGTGGTGAGAATATATTAAAATTACTTTCTCTCTCAGGAATGTAAGCCACAGTAATGAATTTTTGGCTTCCCTAGAAAGAAAGAATACTTGTCTCTAAGGAAGTAAGCAATTACTGCTTACTGTGGTGACAGAGACTCGAAATAGATGTCTCTTTCTTATTATTGAACTTCTGGGATGACTGATCATTTAAGCAAATTTTTACTAAGTGAATTCATTTTTGTATCGAATCCCATTATAAATAAAATATTCTGCAAATATAATATATTTTCTGTATGAAAATAAGATTAATTTATTTTCAGGATTTCTTAATATCCCACATCAGTTTCCTCACTAGTAAAATGATGTTACTGGACTAGACTTTCTACAAAGCCTGTTAATTTTAAATGTCCATATGGCTGTGATTTTTGAGTATATCATCTCTCTCTGTGTGTGTGTGTGTGTGTGTGTGTGTATGTGTGTGTGTTGAGAAAGTGTCTGTATGATAGCATTGCTTGCCAGAGTTGTTGCATATGGTAGCTCATTTTTTTTGCTGTAGTTTTTTTTTGTAGCATTTTTTAATGCTGCGATCGTCCCTTTCCTGCAGGCTGTACGCTCCTCTCTGGGAATGCCAAGGGGCCTTTGGCTGGCTTCATGTTGGCAGCTCCCAGTGATTTACTTTTGTTGCTTTTGTCTTTTTTGTGCTGTCAACAAGATTTCCATCCTTGCTGCTCCTTTCCATCCTTCCGTCCTCTTTAAAAATTCATTATTTCAATATTTAAGTCATGTAAAGTGAATGTTCTCCATTTTACTGTATCTCTATATCTAAGATTTTGCGAATAGAATAAGAACAGAAAAGACTCAGTTAAACCTTTTAAATTCAGCACAAAAAGTCCCTGTTCACTTTGAGATAAAAGATAAAAGAATCTTTCTGACATAGGATTTGAGTGTTCCTCATCTGTTCAATAGAAAGATGCATGCATGTAGCCTAGCACTATTCACTAGCACTATCTACAGTAATGGGAATACTCTATGTCAATGTCTATATAATAGCCACATATAGTTATTAAATATTTGAAATGGTGATTGTACAGCTGTGAAAAAACTATTTTTAACTTTATGGCATTTTAATTCATTTAAATACCCCTACGTAGTTCATGGCTTCCGTATTGGATAGCACTGATCCAGACAACACATTTATCTTCCTAGGAAGCTTTGTGTGTGGTAGACAGAGCACTGGCTTTGGAACCTAATAGCCCAGGGCCAAGTTGTGGTTTGTAGTATTGGCAGGATGAGCTCGGACACCATACCGAATCCGTCTGAGTCACAATTTCTTCAGGAAAGCAGATATAATTTCAGTTAGGAATGACTCAGTTAGGAAAAGTGAGACATCCTGCTACTTGGACAATTTTAGGGTTTTATTTTGGTTTTCCCTTTAAGCCATAAATAAGGTTTATTTGGTTTGTCTGCTTAAGTTTTTACTCTTAAAAATTTCGATGAACTTCATTCAATTAGAACATTGTTAAATTGGAAATATAGGGAATGTGCACAGAGATATAGATATCATAAAGTTTTCCATGGAAAGGAACAATGTTTGCTTTTGGAACTCACAGCTTACAGCAGGGAAGGAGGAACTGGTGTATATTATACGCCTCTTCGAGGGCAGGGGTTGGTAATTAAAGAATGAAGGAGAAGGTCAATTAGTCCTTTAGTTCTTAGAAGGCAGTCAATGCAAAGGACAAATAAGTGCTTTCCCAGTGTTACCTTTTGTCTTTGAGATTGACAATATCATGTCTTATTCTGCTATCAAAAATTTATCTGTTATTTATTGTAATCTGAAAACCCAATTTTGGAGTGTATTTATAAAACAATATAGCAGTGTTTATTATTACCAGCCTAAGGATTGTTCCTTAATCTTTGTCTTGCTTAATGGTAAAACAATGCTTGCGCTTGGACATGATTATAAAAAGAGATGTGCTTTCCCAGTTCTTTGTTATTTCCAACCCAGGTCATCTCTCAAAATATTTCAGGATTATTTCAGGCTTTGGGACTATCTTTAAAGTAGAAGACTATGGAAAACCACCCATGTTTCAGAAACCTTTAAAACCATATACTTTGTTTTATTGGGATGGTTTTACTTTACTTTATGGAAATGAAGACCACTCACATAAGAAGAAACAAAGGCGAATTCAGAGTTTGCTATCGTGAGGGAGTCAGCCACCATCACTTGCCTTTGGCAGAGACTCAGAGGCAGGCATAGGAGTGGGAAAAGCTTTGTAGTGGGATAAAGGGAGGACTTCCGGTGTACTCTGATTGGAAACTGTTGCCCTGGACAAGTGGAAGAGGGCTTATTAGAGAATCCTGAGCTGTTGGTTAGAGGTACATATTTGACTTTCTCTACTTGGTTGGTTTCATCTGGTTTAGAAAAAGGGACAAAAATTAGGGAAGCTGTTAGTTTTGAATTAAGTGCTGCCCATTTGAACCAGTTGTTACCGGTTTTATTACTTGGCTTCTTGGATCGTTTGCTAGAAATAGTGATCTGACTTCCTTCAAGTCTGATTTGTATATACATTGACTTATTGGGTGGTTTTTTAAACTGGTTGTTGTAGATTGAGGGTCAGAGTTATTTATTTTTATATACATATGATATAAGCATTATATATATTATCTGACCATTGTCCATTTATGTATTTAGTCTCCTCTAGAATTTCTAGGAAAATAGCCATGAATATATGTAGAGATACTGATGAAAGAAATATTTATAGTACAGAAAAATGGAAACAACCTAAATTTACAACAACAAATTTGCTGTAAACACATAGTAGTATATTATAATATGTTATTAAAATGATATAACTATCATTTTTGGATGATGTAGAATTTCAGATGTCCTTAAATTTTACATTACTTTAAGATAAACGTAACAGTTATAAAACAACATCTGTATTATGATTGTAAAAAAATGTGTGTGCTTTTAGAAGAAAGACTGGCGACATGTGTATCTTACTGGCTTCTGTGTCATTGTGGTGGAATTAGTAACCTAAATATTTTTTCTTTTCTCTGGTTTTAAAATTTCAAGGAACATAGACTGTATTTATAAGTAGCAAATGTCTACAAATATTTTCTTTAGGGGAAAAATTTAAAAATAGTCCAAATATTGACACGTGTTATATACTCATCTAAGAGAAGGATCGAGACTACAATATGATAAAGAAATGTGAACAAATGATTCCAAGAACATGTCGCGTGAGTGGATGGAGCTGTCAAGTGTGCTTTCTGCAAGTTTTTATGTGCCATGATCACTGGCTAAAGCCATTTGTTATGATAGCATTTTCTCACAAATGTGTTTCTTGAAAACTGTGAAAACTTCTATCTTGACAAGTTGTCAAATGAAATGCAAACATTTTTATACAGAAGAAGTTCTAATGGTAGTTTCACAGATGTGCTGGGAATGTTTATCTTTAGGACTTACATAGACGTCAGCAATGTTTCTCTAATTACTTGAAGTTTAAGATGAAAAACTTTGTTATATACATAATGATGTGATTTATACCCTAGGGAAGCTAACGTCATTTTACTTTTTTTGAGAGGTTAGGTAGATCTTGGTGGCCTTTCCAAATGGCATGTCTTGGAAGGGCCTATACGTTTAAACCACTTAATCATGATCTCTCAGGCAAAAATTTCCTCAGAAGGAGAAACCCATTGATATCTTTGGTTTAGAAAGCGGATTAATCATTGTGACCTTAAAAGTGGCTGTTGGGGCAAGTCCTTAAGGAAAGGCTAAGTAACCCTTAGGGACTGATTCCACCTTACATACTGGTGTAAGTTAAGGCTTGTTTTAGCCCATTATTTACAGAGGATTCTAAAAAAAAAAAAAAAACAACCTATACCATTGATCTTGGAATGCTTATTTCCCTTAAATCATTTTCAGGGCAAGGAGCATTTGTAGTATCTCGTGTCCTCTACAGCACTAAGCATATAGTTCAAAGTCAGCTATACTTAACAAGTATCTATTGATACTTTGTGAGGGGCCCTGAGTCTACTTTTAGGTTGAAAATGTTGATTTTGGAGAATGAATGAGAAGAAAAGGTTGAAAATACTTAAAATGGTAAATTGAACCTTACTCCAAAATAGCCAGGTTGTTTATACAAGTTTTTTGTTTGTTTTTCATATGATGTTGGACATTTATAAGTTATAACCCTTCTAAAATAAGTAATTTAACTGGGTGATTTAAACCGCATAAGCCAGTGAGCACTGCAGTTACTTCAGCAGGTCTCTGAATTTATATGTAATGTAGATGGTATTTATAGATATCTAAATAAAATGCTTTCCATCTATATGTGCTTCTTTTTTTGAAATATATTTTGGTACATTCATACTTAATAAAATGAAAATTTATTTAAATGTATTCTGAATTCATAGGAACTGCTTAGATATTTTTATCTGTTTTTTTTTTTTTTTTTTTTTAGTTTAAGTAACATTTTCCAAATGCTTGCCTCTTCTTTTTTTTTTTCCAGATTTTATTTATTTTTGCATAGAAGAACTGGGGTGTAAGCCAGAGGGGTTAAGAGGATTCACCAGAGACAGAGTGGGGAGCAGAACAGGCAGATCTTCTGAAATACACTGCTGAGGGGAGCAGCAGGCAAGACAGGAGAGGTCTGCTGCGATAAGTGTGGGTTAGCTCCCTGGTCAGGGATCCAACTCAGGCTGTGTCAATGATAGTGCTGAAACTTAACCCCTAGGCCACTGGGGAGGCCTCCAAGTGCTTTCACATTAATTTTTTTTATAATTTCAATTTCTATATTGGCATGTAAAGCAATGTTTTTCAGATAACTGCTCCCAGGAGAAAAAGGAGGACATCCTAGAAAGCGAAAAGCCTGCTAGGTGCAATTCCAAGCCAGGAAAACCAGAGATGCCAAATCAAGACCCAGTTAGCACCAGCCCTGCGCTCACTGAACCTGCCAAGATCACCACCCTGTAAGGATGACTTACTTACTTAGCTTCCTGTTGGTGAAAGCATGAGGTAGACTCATTTATTGACTGCTGCTTTTAATGCTTTATTAAGGATAAGGACAAGTTCCTAATAGTTTTTGAAACTTTTATATATGTTAAGTTTCCAGGGCAATAGACAAAGACAAATAATCTACAGGGTAACTTCCCAACAAGATAGTTCTGTCTTGCAAGTCATCAGTGGGCCTGAAACATCCGTGCAAGATGAGATATCTATGGATGCTATGCATGTCTTCATTGATGAGCACGGTAAGTCTTTACTAATGAGGAAGGAGGGTTAATGCTGGCAGCTTTCTCAGGATTCCATAGGTTCTCTTAGCCCGAGTACTAGATTTTGGGACAGGAAGACTTCGTCCTAAGATTGCTCACGTAACATGTTTTGAGAACTGTGTTCCCTTCTGCCTCAGGGCCTTTGAGCATACTGTATCCCTTTAGATCTTAATTCTTAGGTAAGTTCTTTAGGAAAACTTTTCCTGAATTTCCTTTTTTAACACTCTATCCTTCCTTCTTTGGTATTGTTGCAGCTTGTGATTATTTATTGACTTATAATCATTTGATTAGTGACAATTTATAACTATAAACATCTGGAAGGCAATGCCCAACATCTAGTAAATATTTATTATACTATTCTCTATTTTGGAAGTCTCACTTTGATATATTTTTAGTGCTTTGTTACAAATAGGATTTAAAATAGTATAGAGAATTACAGTTTCAAAGTTCTATAGATAAAGGATGGAGTTTCTAGTTTTTCTAAGATGGGTCTTGGCTTAAGTACCTTATAGATCAATTAATGTTTGTTATTTTACTCTCAAAAGGAAATTAATATGGGTAATAAATTATGTGGTTATCCTATCTATAGATCTGTAGTTTAGAGTTTTAAGTGGTTTTGAATTTGCAGAAATACAAAGAACCACTTTCACTATAAAGAACAACACTAACACTTATATTAAAGCCTCAGAGGGCCTATGGTTATCCTTGTTGATGTTTCTCCTGGTGGGAACCTTTACCTTCACTTTGAGGTGCAGCTCACCCATGTATGTTCCAGCTGCTCACAGCAGACAAGGTTAATTATGCTTCTGTGTGACCTAAGAAGGCTCTCCTATAATTTCTTTTGGAGAGAGATCATTTTATATGTACAAAATGAACTTATTTTCACACCTCAAAACCCTAGGCCTATTTAGCAGAGCTAATTTATCTCTGCAAATTAATTCCATCTCTTGCTTTCCCTCATTACCAGGCTGACACACCAGGCAATGTGCTATGCCGTGCTCATCTGTGGATTTGAAGGGAGGGATGGTCTCCCACAGTCTCTGAATCAAAACAACATTATCAAGCCTCTTTTTGCATATGATACAAAAACACCTGGTTATAGCATATACATTATACTGACAAATGAAAAGAATATAAAAAGATGAAGAGGCTATCTGAAAGTGAATTAAGAGATGGTACAAGTTAATTTCATTAAAAGTAATTAGTTATAAGTAATGGAGTCAAACTTGTCTGATCATGTTATCAGAGGGAAGCATGTCAGGACGATTTTCTGAAGTTATACATTCTGTGGATAAATGAAATGAATTGACTTAGATTGCCAATATTTATTTTTCAATTAGTCCAATATGAGTAAGCTAAAAATTGAAATTTTATATACAACTAGTTGTGTAACATACTCTGTGCTGAAATTTTGTGATTTTGTAGGAGAAATTAGATCTTGTTATTTAAAGTCTGGAAATCAGAAAGAAGGCCCTTTACAGCAGCAGCCATCAAATCACGATGTAGTCTCTCGTGCTCGGTAAGTAGAGCTCAGTTTTCAAGTTTGGGAGCTGTTGTGTTGCTTACTCTGACATGAAACTTACTCTGACTGTAAATGAATTGAGGATCCTGGTGTAGGATGAATGTGTTGATCTCCTTGTAGATGTTAAAGAATCCGGGTTTTGTGTACAAGGAAAAAAAATCTGACATAGTAGAATAACAAAAAATAAACAGAACCATTTTCATGAAACCCACTGCCAAAAATGAACATATCATGTAGGTAAAAATGGAGTGGAGGGCGTCCCTGGTGGCAAAAGGGTTTAAAGTCTCAGCACTATCAAGCTATTGCCAGCCACTGCCACATGAATTTTATCCCTGCCCAGGGAGCTAACCCATACGGCGCAGCAGACCACTCCTATCTTGCCCGCTGCTCCCCTCAGCAGTGTATTTCAGGGGTCTGCCTGTTCTGTTCCCACTCTGTCACTGGTGAATCCTCTCACCCACCTGTATGTACCTCTGGTCTGTACCCCAGTTCTTGTATGCATAAATAAAGAAAAATAAATCTTAAAAAAAAAGTGGAACCCTTTGCAGAAAATAATATTCCTTCGGGAAGGGTGGTGCAGCTCAAAATCATGTTTAAATTTGTCCCAAGGAATGGACTAGAAATGCAGTAAGTTCCCATTGATACTAATGGAGGCAAGCTCTTTTGTGGCTAGATAATCTGAACATCTTTTTTGTTCTCCCTCAGAATTTATTGACTAACTTAAAATTTTATTGAGTTGATATTAAATTAACTTGCATTCCTGAAAATACACAGATGAATTATAGTATGGGAAAATGGTAAATCTTACTAGTGACAACTGAATTCATCATTCATCTTGAGCTTCAAGATTCTTTGAGGATAATCCATATGTGCATGCCTCCAAGTGGGAAAGCAAATTTTTCAAATGCATTTCTCTAGAATTATATGTAAACATAAGAATGTGTGGGAGACTTTTGCGGTTTTAAAGATTTATTTATTTATTTATTTATTTATTTATTTATTTATTTATTTATTTATTTATACAAGCACTGGGTACAGTCAGAAGCGCGGGAGGGTGAGAGAATTCACCAGAGCCAGAGCAGGGAGCAGAAGAGGCAGACTGACGAAGAAGTACACTGCTGAGGGGAGCAGCGGGCGTTGCAGGAGAGGTCTGCATGCCATGTGGGACCCTCGCCGGCTGCCGGGGATTGAACTGGTGCTGCAGAGGCTGCGGGCAGCTTCTCAGCTCAGCGCTCAACCGCTGCGCCACCAGGGGAGGCCCACTTTTGTGGTCTTAGTCTTCACTCCTGAAAAGCATAAAGGGGGAGCTTCCCTGGTGGATCTTTTGTCTTTGTGATTGGTTTCCAGGTGGAATTCTGTCGTGTGCCAGTCCTTTAGGGTGTTCTCATCACTGCCACTGCTGCCTCTCACCCTCTTAGGGATGCTGGTATGGTCTGTTTGGTAGTGTGGCTGGGTAGTGTAGATTATGGCTTTCCTGGTCACACAGTCCCAACTGGGCCCCAGCTCAAAAGCTGCCTGCTTGTGTCCCGAGTCATTTGCCTGGGGAAACGGCACGTTCCACACACCCTGTATGTCCTTCACTTTTCTGAAGACCCTCAGGTACCCACACACCATTCAAAAGAGACAACAAATAAGACTTTCCTTCCCTAGACAAAAAGCAAATTGAGACTCCTGAAGGAGAGGGAGGCCTAGTGTCCAACCTCAGCACAGTGCCTTGATAGGTTTAATTGTCTCAGATGGCAGCGTTTTCAGACAAAATATTTAATGACATGACAACACAACTTTGAGCACTGTCATTATTTCACAACCCTCAGTTGAAAGCTGTAGTATTCTGAAACTATATTTAGATCAAATATATGTCTCTTATTTTATCCCAAAATAAAATTATAAGACATTTTCATTTTCCTGGGTAACTACTTCCCTCTTGCCTTGTAAACATTTTTTATCTGCAATTGCCATCAATGTCAATTAGAATAAGGTCATATATCCAGAACCTTAAAAAACTAAAAATATAACTATTAATAAAAACATGCCAATAGGAATTAAAGAGCATCCATGTAGGGTTTCTAATATACCCCATTTGCTTATGCCAAACTTCACCCAGAGCCACCCAAAGCCACTCACTTTCTTCCCTTTATTTCTTTCTCTTTATTAAATTTCCTGTAATTCTGCCGTTCTTTATTTCCTCTGAATTTCCTTTCTATATTAGAGCTCATCTTTATTTAATCTGCCCTCCATTCCAGACCTGGCTGGGTTTACATTCCCACAATGCATTTGCTTTAATGAAAGCCTTCTTGCGAGGTCAGGCTGTGGCCCTGCTGGGGTGCTGGGAGGTCCAAATGTGTTTATGCTGGACTTCCTGTGCAGTCATGTGGCTTAGTGGAGAATCTCATATAATCAGTTCCATCCTAGCTCTGCCTTTTCACCTACTTAGCACAGTTAGACCCTTTCTATCATACACAAGAACAATCCAAGTGAAACAGGTCCATCAAATAGGGATCTAGGGGGTCATGCCACTGAGATATCTTTGCTAGACATGTTCAAGGGTGTACTTTCTTTTTCTCTAGCACTGTTTTGACATTCTCAAATATCTCGCCTAGGTGGTCAAAAGATGCCTATAGTAGCCCCAGCTGTTATGTCCTCTCTCATTCAAGACCAACGGAGACTGCTTGCCTCTTTATCATCAACCCACTCTCAGTGCGTGATTGGTTCTTGGCAATTGGTGACTGGCAACATATCTAAGCCCTGTCACTTAGGCTTTCCAAGTAGTTGACTTGACTGGGGTCTGCTTACATACACAGAGCTGGCATTGAAAGTTCTCTTTGAGAATTACTTGGGGTCATTTTTTAGACGGAATTTTGGAGAAAACTCTATGTATGCAGGGCAGCAAAACTCAACAGATAACCCCTGGGGATGCTGCTTCTGGTATAATGGCAATTGAATTAATTATCGAGCTTTTTTTTTAAGGAGAAAAATAATCAAGTTGTGTAAAAGCAACCTTTCCCTTAGAGAAATTCCTAACATTAACATTTCTAGTGTTTCTCTTGTGAACATTCTCATAGATATGGTCTCATTCCTCTAGCCTCATGTGCAAGCTCAAGGTCTTTCACTGCCTGCTCTTGCCCCAAGATAATTTGCAGGGCATTTGGTCTTAAGAGTTCTGGGAAAGAATGACATGTTGCCACAGATATCTTCTCTTTCTTATGATTCAAAGATAAAAATTAAAAAATACATGATTTCTGGGCGTCCTTGGTGGCGCAACGGGTTGAGTGCAGCCCTGTGAAGTTGTTGGCAGCCTCTGCAGCATAGGTTTGATTCCCAGCCAGCCAGGGAGATACCCACATGGTGAGGCAGACCTCTCCTGTCTTGCCTGCTGCTCACCTCAGCAGTGTTTTCGGTCCATCTTCCTGTTCTGTTCCCCACTCTGTCTCTGGTGAATCCTTTCACCCTCCTGTGCCTCTGGCCTGAACCCCAGTTCTTGTATAAATAAATAAATCTTTAAAAAAAAATTACAGGATGTCTATCAGATGTATGGACTATTATTTGAGAATATACATGTTTATTACACTGTCTCTTTAAAGTAAGTTAGTCCTGGGCCTCCCCGGTGGCGCAGCGGTTGAGTGCTGGGCTGTGAGGCTGCCCGCAGCCTCTGCAGCGCCGGTTTGATCCCCAGCCGCCGGGTGAGGGTCCCACATGGCGCGCAGACCTCTCCTGCCGCCCGCTGCTCTCCTCAGCAGTGTATTTCGTCAGTCTGCCTGTTCTGTTCCCCGCTCTGGCTCTGGTGAATTCTCTCACTCTCCCACGCTTCTGACTGTACCCAGTGCTTGTATAAATAACTAAATAAATAAATCTTTAAAAAAAAAATAAAGTAAGTTAGTCCTTCAGAGGGGACTTTCTTAGGGGGCATGATGGCAAATAATTCGGTGGCCCACTGGGCATAGAAGATATGCAGTACTTTTTGTTTGATACTTTGGTACAAAACTCTAGTCACCTCATTTAGCAAAATTATAGCATAATGGAAGCTGTTCCCTAAACAGTTCTGGAAAAGCAGTTAAGGAGCTGCCATCTGTTTAATTCATGCTCAGGAAAAAATGGCTCCTTTGTACGTAGTCAGATGATCTCTGGATTTACACTGCTGTCTGACAGGCTTATCATGGATATTGCACCAGTCCCAAACTCCTCCCCAGACTTGGAGGTGTTGAAATCAATGCCACCAGTTCATGGGAGGCTAATTTCTCTGGATTTGTAATAAGCCTGGGCTTCTGTGGAAGCTCCTGATGTGATGATAATTTGGGTCTTTGAATTGGTTGTAGGAAAGAAAACTTGTAAAATAGGATAAAAGCAAACAAGCTGGTTCGATTAAAATATTTTAATCCCTACATTAACATGTTTCTGTGCGTGTGTTTGTGCTTCTGTGTATATAGATAACAGATGGCATCCCTATTTTTTAATGTAAGGAATGATACCAGAGCATAGTACAGCTGATCAAGTGCAGTGCCAGTAGGTCAACTTTTTGCAGGCTGGAAGGGCTGACGCAGTCACACCTCACACCTGTGCTCCGGTGTGCAGGTCTCTCTATGCAGAGCAACATGTGCCAGTTCCTGGACCTGAAGGAAGCATTTCCTGTAATAGTTCTGGTAGTAGCACGCCCCTCCCCCCACTTATTAAATATTTATTTTGTGCTAAGCACTGTATTAACTTTTCTAATTTTATCTGAACAGCAAAACTGAGATAGAGGATTATTAGCTCCACTTTACAGAAAAGGCGACTAAGATTAATTAAGAAGCATGTTCAACCTCCATAGTTAGACTGTTGTCTCGGCTCCCCTGGCCATGGCAGGGCCACAAGCTCAGAGTTCTTTGGTGTCTCCGCAGGGAGGTAAATAGGTGGGCTGGGCTTGATGCTGAAGTTCTCTTGAGGGCATGTGTTCTGTCTCAGGGCTGCTGCTACTTATCTTTAGTAAGCCTGAAGGGGGACTAGATTTTCTGGTTTTTGCC